ATGCAGTTGAAGGTTCGTCTACTCCAGAGACCAAGCATTTATTAGGTGTGCGTGGATTTTAGCGGTCTCTACTATTATACATGTATTTCTTACCTAGCTTAACAACTGTGGACTAATGAAAGTATATGAAAAAGATCGATTAATTATAACAGTTCAAAATTCAAAAGTGTTTTCGTCTTCCTTGGATTCTGTGTATATTAGATCTTTATTAGCTTTCTTCCGAGCGTTTTGCTTCTCTGCTTGATTCGCCCGTGTCTTATATGCCACACACCCCCCTAGGAAGAAGACAGACAAAACCAGAGCTCCTACTGTCGTTCCTATCAGAGCTTGGATGATGGTGCTAGCCTCCTCTGGAGTGAGCTTTAAACCGATACTCTCACCGACGGTGCAGGGCTCTTGATCTGGTGGGCAGGGAGTCACCTCAGGAGGTGGGGGCACAGGTGCCGTGATGGACGGTAGGTAACTTGCCCAGAACCGGAGAAGATGTGGCCAATCGTTGTCAACGCCCGAGAAGGCTTGGGGACAGTCAGTTAGCGACATGTACTTGAGGTTGTCTGAATCGAATGATGGCCACTCCACGCCAGAAGCTGAAGTCCCCGGAACTCTGTATGACGAACAAAGACGGTGAAGACAACTATGAGGAGAAGGTTATACCATATATAATATTAAGAGGCGGGCTCTGCAAAAAATACCAGAGCGTAACAAAAGAACAGTTCGCACTGGACGTTTTTCTGAGAGTTTAACCGAGCCGATGGTCAAATGAAAAATGGTCATGACCACTGTCCGCAATTGGACTTTCGATACGGAAACATTTTACCGAGTCTGCGGGAGAAGTAGCCGAGTTGTCAGTGCAATGACTCATGAGGTCAATTTGCGTGGCCTTGCTGCATTTGTTTTTGTCCTTAGACACAACGTCACCGTCCTTATTATATATATATCTGTACCTGTTCACTAATGTACGAACGCCTGGTATAGCTATCCCGTACAATTATAGTCTAAAATGGTATCCTCTCAGGTCAGTTTATCCTCCGACTGTATCAGTATTAATTTTTGCCATTTTGGGGACCAAAAGAGGAACAAATCTACTGAAAATATCCGCCACATGCCACACCGCAGCAAAACGAGCACTGAGCATGCCCAGTTTCCCTGTCTGAAGCGTGCTGTTGTGCTTTGGACAGATGTACTCTGTGACCCATTTTCCATGCTTTTACCGATTTGCGTTGTCTCGAGAAAAGTGTCTTGGGAATGTTTCCTTGGCAGAAGTTGGCTGTTAAAATGACTGCACGACTCGGTAAAAGTAACCGAGACTTCCTAGGATGTCCGAACTGGAGTTAAACGGGAAAAGCAACCATAGTCTCGGTAAGTTTGACCACAAAAAAATCAATGTCCGAATAGGACTAAAGATCATTCCAACAGGCATGTTGCTTTACATAGGCACATTTACTCTGGCAAAAGCATACCATGTACAGGAGTTCAGTAACCTCTTCATAATGGGCCGTTCCGGTTTATATTTTCCTAACTAAATGCCACTGGCGCTAAAAATAAGACCTAACGCACAGTATTATATGACCTTACCCGGTGTGTAAAAATTTTTTCAAGAATTCCATCAGCTCCAGGGTAGACTGTTTATCTTCTAGTCTGTATGATAGCTGGAGTTTATCAACGAGAGGACTGTATGGATCTCCGAACAAGAATTGCAGATCATCAGCAAAAGCTGGCCCAGCCTGAGGTGGAAGCGGTCCTTTATAATGAGCAAGTGGTTTGAGATCAAACGAGTAGAAGTAGACTGAATGACCAGCATTAGCGTGGAGCCTGGCAGCTTCCAATGTGCTCCAGTATGACAAGTAGTCATTCATGAACTGTCTGAAACTACCCCTTGTCTCGCAATCGTCACCTAAACCACCCTTCCCGATATATTCAGTGTTTAGAGTGAAAGCTGCTTCATCAGGATTGTTGAAAGAATGTTTGCTGACTTTCTCTATGTACTGCTCAACTTCCTCAACACTTGGACAATCGAGGCTGGTCATCATAAATGCCTGTGCAGCATCTTGGTCCTTCGCTAATCCAACGATCACGTCAACATCATTAATTCTGCCGGCTTTCAGCAGCTCCAGGGGTTTGTCGGTGATGAGATCACCGTCAACAACAGGCGGAAACTCAAGGCCAAATGACGGATTTACGACACTGGAGATGATATCTGCCACTGGCTTTTCACGCAGGCATTCTATCAATTCAGTGCTTGTAGTTGGGCATTCAAGTTTGATGGCAAGAGCCTGGGCTGCTTCGGAGGCCACTGGAAGGACTGGATTATTGACAGACGGGGATATAGCAGTTGCACTCATCAGAATAACTTTGTTAAAAAGGCCCTTTGCCTTCTCAGATAGGACGAGAAAGTGGGTAAGTACAGCACCCGATCCATGACCTTGGAGGGTTACCTGTTCAGGATCACCTCCAAAGCTCCCGATGTACTTGTTGACCCATTTGAGAGCAGCTACGATGTCACGCAGTCCATAATTACCTGGAGCTACTTTATCTTCTGTTGACAGGAATCCAAGAGCTCCTAAACGATAGTTTATAACTACAACAACAGCTTCAACCTGAGATGCCAGAAGAGTCGCATCATAGACTGAAGATGTGCCGCTAATCCCATCCCCACTGTGAATGAAAACGAGGACAGGCAAAGCAGGGTTGCCGGAGTCTTGAATTGGGGTGTAAATGTTTAGAGTCAGACAATCTTCACTTGTTTGATTGAACCCAAGACGAACCATCCAAGGATCCAGTGTGACATCTTGAGGACAGGCAGGTGGTAGCTTCTCTGGGATACCGAGTGGTTGATCACCCCACGGTCCTGTATCTTCAGGTGGTTTGAATCGCAAATCACCAAGGGGCGGTTTTGCGTAAGGAATGCCCAGGAACTCGGCAACTTCGCGCCCTCCCATTGCCTTGTCAGCGATCTCCAGAGTACCGATGACAGATCCCAGCACTTCACCGTCTTTGCTTTCTATCTGCACCGTCTTTGTTCCCGGTTTTTGCACGGTGCCACTTCTGATAGGTAATTCGTAAGTACAAGTTTTCTCATAAGTCGGGTCAGTAATAGTTGGGATGTAGTCGTTCCAAAAGGCTACTCTGTCTGATTTGAAGCCATGCCCTGTTTTAATGTCAGCGTCAAGAAGGATGTACGTTTTGTTTTCGGTTTCGAATTTTGGCCACTCTGGTAAACTGGCTCCGTTAGGATTTCTGAAAGAAAAAAATGAAGAAATAAGTGCATCATCCACAGTGGCGTAAATAATTTAAGAAGCTGCATTAAACAAAGTTTCAGAAGCCAACCTACCTTGACAAATAGTACACAAGGCTTTTTCAGTTTTTTCAAATGAATTCAAAAGCGTAAGCCATAACTGGGGTGATTTAATGTAAGGTATCTTCAAACTGTGTTCCACAATGATGTACGGTAATTATGACCGACTAAAATTAAGAAACAAATCAGAGTCGATGTTAACGTGACAACCAATGCGTAGAATGGCCCCGCAAGTACCCGTTCGAGTTGTAACTGGCTTATCCATGTAGCCTACTGTTCAACCGCATTCCTTTGACATTGCGTGACTTTGCTTTCGTCTTGGAGTTTAAGGTTTGGTTCATAGCAATATGGGAAAGCTCACCAATAGGTTGTATTACAGCAAGGTATTGCTCCAGAACTGTTAGGGTTTTTACAGTACTGAAGTTGTCGGCCCCAATATCATTGATACAAGTTCCATACCGGTACATAATCGTCAGGCAACACAACCGCTTGCCTATTATTATGGTGTACTATTTACGACACACATTTTTGCCTCTATCAAGCCTCTTCCAAGCCGACGCAACTACACGACGCGACGGCACGACGCGCCGTCGCCTTCTGGCCATTACGTTAGTACACACAAGCATCGTGCCGTCGCACGTCGCGTCGTGCTGTCTTATGTCTTTTCTTAGTTGCATTTTTTTTCTGCCTAAACATCGTTCCTTCCGTCGCCCGTCGCGTCACACTGTCGTACGTCGCGTCACATGTCGTGTCATGCATCGCACTTGCACAGTACATGCTTTAAGTAGCATTGTCTTCAGGAAATAAATAACATTAAAGTAAGCCAAAATAATGTTTTAGCTTTTCCTGCTCTAGATTTGATCTTTCTAATAATTATTTGTAAATCCATTCAGACATACAATACATCAATCATTATTAAGTGCTTGCGAAAATGTAACATGATGAGAAAATGTGTGCGAGGCCAAACAGAGTTGAAGAAAAGACCATCACAATGATAGCAGGATCTACAGTGTCTTATGCAGAAACACGGACTAATATCATTGAATGTGTAATGCTGATGAAGTTAACGAGGAAGACTGAACTGAAGAAAGACTGAAGACGGACTCTTCTGAGGGTAATAATATAGTGCGGGCTGGGTAGTAACTTCCTAAACCTGTGGTCAAACTTGCCCTCGTGCAATACGGCCGTTTCACAATAGAGCGCCACCAAGAGTTTGCAGCGCGTCGGCCGATCACAATGCACGAAATCTGTCGACCGAATGCG